AGAGAGAACGGTGGCTCGGGGGGGGGGGAAGGGGGCAGTTGCCAGGGGTATAGCCTCGAGCTTCCCAGGCGGAAGGCCGGCACGGGCTTGTCCCTACCCAGCACGAAAAGCACTCGCCCCTCTGAGCCGAGTCCTGGGGTGTCCCAGCCCTTCCATTCTCCCCCCCCTCCAAACACCCTGCAAAGGAAGGGGAGGAGGCTGCAATTTGCTGTTTCTGGGGTAGATGAGAGGATGTTCTGCATCCCCCTCCCCAGGAAAAGCCTCTGGTGGCAGAGCAGCAACAGGCACCAGGAGAAACATCTCTTCTCATGCTGGCCACTGGCTCAGTGCTGATGGTTGCAGCTTCTGCATCTGAGCCAGGGCTTTGCACCAGAGCGATCACAGTGGAACCCATGCCAGAGCCAGCTCTTGGGCTCCAGTGAGAGCTGGGGCCATCTCCTTGCACAGCTCCTCTGCATGGGGTCTCCTCCCAGGAAGGGCTTTTCTTGCTGCAGGAGGCTGACCATTGCCAGCTCAATGCAAGCAGCAAGTGCTTGGCTGGATCTCCAGCAGGTTGGGGGGGAAGTGAAGGACGATCTCCCCATGTCAATGCATGCTCTGCACTGACCCAAGGATGCTGGAGTCCTCCTGCTTGTTGGTGCCCACCGTCATACACCATGAAGGGCTGCATGGTTCCATGGGTGTCAGGGAAAGGACTTTTCCAGCCATAAAATGGGAAGGAGAGCAGGAACTCCCTAGGGGAGCACATGGATGAGGCAAGCAGAGGGATGAGGGCAGTAACAGTGAAGGCAGACGGGATCTTAATGTTTCCTTCCTAAAGCCAAGACACAAGAACCAGAGGTGATGGCTCCTCTGTCATATATTCCTGGTTTTCATTCTTGCCCAACTTCATTGGCATTTGGGAAACTGGTTGCTGAAGTAACACCAGTAACCATGAGAGCTGCCCTGCATCCTAGAAAGAGGCTCAGTTTATCCCTAGATATTAAGTCACCATGGGTTTCATAGCTGAGCTCTGCACTGTGCTGTGAAAGCTGAGCTTTATCTAGGTCAGTGGCAGGTCCTCCTCCACTCGCAGCGAAGCTGGGGGGGGAATGTCACCACTGGTCACATCTCAGCCGGGTGATGGGCACCTGTAATTTCAAGAAGAGACACTTCCCCACAGCCCACGAGTCTCTGGGAAAGCCCTCTTACACCTCTGGCTTCTGCAGCAGCGGGGCAGCGGTGCCCACCAGGTAGCAACCACCCTGTGCCACCCCCAGCTGGGTGGAACATGGCACCCAGCAGGGCCAGGCTGCAAGTGCTGGGAGGGCATTGTCTCCCCCCCGGGTTGTTCTGCAGAGGGGTCTGTGGGATGGAGGAGGAGGATGATGATGATGCTGCTGCTCTCTTGACTGCCCCGAGCCCAAGCACCGGGTGTGTTGCTCCCCATGGCAGCAGGGTCCTGGCAAGGGGTCTCCAGCATGGTCACGAGTCAGGTCACAGCACCCACCGCCTGCCAGCTCTGCCTGCCAGCACCATGCTGTACTGCTCTTGTGGCAGCAGAAAAGACTAAAGCTCAGTCTAAAAAAGGCAGACTCGCAAGGAGGAAGGGTGCAAGGAGAACGCTCAAGGCTACAGCCATAGGCTCAGGTGATGAAGAGGTTGTACCGCGAGGCGCTCTGTCACGTACCGAGATGGTGGCATATGGAGTTGGGGAGCTCCCAGCATCTGCTCCGTGCTCCAGAGCACTTAAACTACTTCTTCTCATGGAAGATAAAAGCAGCAAAGTATCACCCTGCCCTGGCAAGCAGCAGGCTGGTGATGGCAGCCAGGTCAGAAGCTCTCTGAGGATGCCCAGCGCACTGGGTTTGCGGAGGGGGAGGACAGAGACCAGACAGTCCAGTTCAAAGAGACAAGGAATTTGCCCGGACCAGCAATTTCCACTGGTCTCTCTTTGTGACCGTGTTGTGCAAACCAAATGCCAGCATGCATGCCTTGCTCACGGGTAACTCACAGGTGCCCTGTGGATGTGAGGCGGCTGGGGAACCACTCAGCATGGCAGAGCCAGTGCTTCCCTGGGCCCAGCACCAGCACTTCTGGTGCAATATCACACAGGACCAGAGCAGGTTTCTCTGCTTGCTGCTCAAAGGGCAACTCCGGGCGAGAGTCCCTCCAGCCTGAGCAGTGCGTGAACCTGGGTTAACATGGTCTGGACATCAGGACAGCCAGCTTGGGGTTAATTTTACAGATGGGGGAATGCACAGAAAGAAATATCTGAGATATGGCATGCATGACTCTCTAAATAAGACAGCTTCTCCTGAGTATTTCTGGAGTGGCCAGGGAATCCAGCCACCACAGGAATAAACCTCTGCACTTTGCACCATGAAGGAAATTCAACTCCTGAGTCTGCAGGTTAACTTGAGATATGTTTGCTCCAGGAGCACCCAGATCTACCTGACCCATGTGGCTGTCCCTTGCCCCCAGTACACCTGGTCACAGCCCCAGCTGGGACACAGAGCCATCACAAAGCTCTCCTGACTCACTGGCACACTAATGAGCTCATGTTTCCCTACCCCAGGTCTGGCTCATTGAGCTTATTTCTATTAAATGCATTTGAGAACATAAATCTGTCTTCAGAAGAAAAAAAACCAACAGCTCATTAAGAAGACAGACAGCATCTATGGTCTGAAAGAAACAGCAAATGGCAGCTGCCAAAAAGGTCAATGTTAAATGCAGTTGCCAGCTGGGATTTATTAAAAGATAGATGTACAGCAGCGGATGTGAATGGCACATCTTGTACTTGGGTAATCTCTCCTTCCTCTCCCACCTTCGCACAGCTTGCTGGCTCTGATGCATCCAGCCCTGCTGTGACCTCCAGGACTGACAGCCTGGATGTGTTGGGTTTTGCTCACTACTTGAATATTTCATTTATTTAGTTCTTTATCTAGGGAAACCAGAACCAAAGAAAACAGCTGGTTTGGGCTAAAGCATTGCTCAGTGAGGGTGAGGTACCACCTTTCTCTGCATGACCCTGCTCTCTGTCCATGGGGAGAGGTACCTGGCGCTATCCTGGACAGTACCTAAGCCACAGCAGGCTCGTCTATGAGAACAAGCAGGGACCAAACTCATGCCAGCAAACTTGGGTCTTCTCTTGTTCCTACAGAGGATCTGGGCTCTCTTCCAAATATGAATACACTAAAATAGAAGGACAAGACATACGCGGAAAGGAGAAAATGGGTAAATATCACCTGTATTGGCTCAAGAAGCAAGGCGAGTTCAGCAAGGGACCACAGCACCCATGTCCTACACCCGGCACAGAGGTTGAGCATCTCCAAAACCAAGCATGAGCTGGTCTCTGCAGCAGTCTTTGCTCGTGTATCTCACAACCTACCTGGTCCTTCCTCATCAGCCCAGGACAAGGACTGACTCCCTTCTTGGCTCCACGTGTTACGACCCAGCACCACCTCCCACCCCACAGGATTTCCCACTGATACCCACCTCTTTAAGACTGATGCTTGCAGTGTAGATCATGTTTGTCCCATCCCTCCTGAAATGCAAGTGAGGCTTGTCCTTGAGGATGAAGATGATGTCAGCAGGGATGTTGTCTGGGGTGGCGTCCCCTTCTTTGGGGAATGTGATTTTGGTTCCCTCCTTCCAACCCCGTTTAATGACAATGTTTAGGATCTTGTCCTCAGTCCACATGGTCCGGCCATCAGCATTGAGCCTTCTACGGGTGATCTTCAACCTCTTGGTAGAGCCGTGGTAGATCTCTTCCAGGGATACCTTGAGCTCATGGATGACAGGTGGGTCTTGGACCTTTCTCCACGTGTGCAGGGACTCCTGGTGCCGCCGGTGAACCCCGTTAATGCCGTTGAAGCCCAACTGGCCGGAGTATCAAAAGGGTTGGAGCCTCCAAAGAAGGACGCAAAGGTGGCATGGGGGTCTCCATGGAAGGTGTAGTGGAAAGTGTTCCCTAAGCCACCTGAAGAGCCACCTCCAGTTTTGAGACCTGGAAGAGAAGGGGGAAGACAAGACATTAATGCTTCCTGCAGGCAGACACCATGCTGGGACCATACTTTCCACACGGGAGCATGGTCTCTGCTGGCTCCAGGCAGCCCCTCCAGCAGCTCCTGGGGATTGTCGTGGTTTGGCCTCAGCCAGCAACAAAGAACCGCGCAACTCCCACAGTCGTGGAAAAAGAAATCATCAGGGCAAAACTCGTGGGTTAAAATAATGCAATTTTAACAGAACAGCAAAAGGAAAGATGAAAACACGATTACAGTACCGCCGCAAAACGCACCGACTGGACCCATGCCACTGCAGCTCACCCTGAGTGGTGACTGCTCTCCTTGCCTGGCTAGCTCCTCTTATAGCCCGGGCATGGGTCAAGTGGTATGGAATACCTGCCCCCTGCCGGCTCCTGGGGAAATTAACCCCATCCCTGCCAGAACCAGGACAGGATGCAGGTCACCCCCTCCAGCCCAGCCACCTGTTGAGACCGTGGGCCAGGAAGGCACCGCCCCAACCCATGACACACAGTCCTGCCCCTACACCCAGCAAGCTCAAGAGCCATTCAGGATTTGTCCCCACTACCCCAACTGAGCACTTGCTTGGTTCTCTTCACCCAATTCATGGCCTTCTCATTTAAAACATTTCCTGACCAGCCCATCTCCATTTTTCCCCATGGGCAGGTTCCCTTCTGCCCAAATAGCTCTGTCTTTTGGGCTGCAACAATGGCTGTGGTCCAGGAGCATCACATCCAGCACGTGAGAAAAGGCTTTGACTTCAGGGAATGACCATGACTCTTGCTGGCAGAGCAGGTGGAGGTCAGCAGACCTCCAGATCGGCACACAGCAGGAAGGATATAGCTCTCTGTTTACAGACTGTATAAAATGTCAGGTAAGTTCAAGGTTTGGACCTTTTGGCAACCATTCCCATGGGAAACTCCCCTGCCCAGACCTTGGGCAGGGCCTTACGTCACTGCAACTTTCCCCCAAAGTCCCAAGCAGCCAAGGCACATGACAAGTGACCTCCAAAGAGGTCACACATGCTCTGCGAGGCTATTTTTGACCAGGAGGGCCCAGGAAGGGTTAAGCCAAGCCTAGCTCAAGGACTATTTTCAGGGCACACTGATGACAGTGAAGGGCTATTTCTGATGGGCTGTCCCTCGTGGCAGGAGTGAGACAAGCACAGCACAGGCAAGTTTGGGGATCTTTTCTGATCAATGAAGTTTCTATCCTGGGGGACACACACCTTTCACTTCACCTTGCCTACCCCAGCAAGAAGCCCCTCAAAATGCCGATCCCCAGGCCATATTGCTCAAAAAAAAAGCATCTGATGGGAAATGAAAGGTGTGTGGGGCCATGGACCATGACTGGTCTGGAAGTCATCGCCAGGGAGGTGAACGGTAGTCCCTGTCCTGCGATGGGTCTGGCCAGCTCAGCGGCATCTCCATCCCCCTCTCTCCAGCTACAAAACCTTTTCACTTCTTTCATCCTATTTCTGCCCTGGCTTTCTGCATGTGACCAACGCCAGTTCCCCAAAATGCCAATGGGATTTGGTTTTGCTGGTACTCCCCATCCTGCTGCGAGGAGGGGGCTGGTCTTCCCTCCCTCCTTAACTTGCTCTTATTTTAGCTGTCTTTGGTGATGAGGATTTCACCAAAACCCGTTGAGCCTCTGTCCCTAACAGACTGTACAGCCAGGAGGTTTCACCTTTAATCCCGTGATGCCAGCCCAATCAGGGTCCAATTTTGGCAGCACCTCCAGGGGCAGGCTGGTTTCCCACTTGAGACAACCTCTTCTTATTTTACACAGCAAATCACGTGGCTCAGGTGCATCCATCATAGCCCTGACATAACTGATGGGTTGAGAATTAACCCATGGCTAGTTAATTCTGCTGGTGGTTCATTAGGGGATGCACCTGCCCATTGGTCCCACAAGAAGGGCTGTGTCTTCCACCCAGCAGCCTGCCAGACCTCCTGCTGTTTTAAGCACCCAAGCCCTGGGCTGATTAATGCAGATGCTATTTGTTGCCCTCCTTGAATGGGGTTGTGCTCTTCTATCTTCGACTAATAAGGCCGCCTGTGGTGGAACAGCTCTCCTCCTTTGTGCCAACCCCCAGAGAACAGCAGCTGCTTGGTTTCAAAACAAGGACCTTTTACTTAAATTGGGAAAAGCTTTGAATCCTGTAGACCAGCCTGTACTGGGGGGGACAGAGGGACCAGTGCCCAAATGCAGGGGGAAATGCAGGCAAAAGCAATACTTCTCCACTGGAAAATTTAGGTTAATTAAAAGGTTGCTAACAAATTACCCCAGGTATGACCCAGGAGGTGAGCTCCTTCCACTTCTATCATCTCAGATGGCTGCCAGGCTTTGGGGCAGAGGGCAGGGAGAGCCCGACCATCCTGGGAAGCAGGGTGGAGGGTTGGAAAAATGGAACATCCTGGGGGGGAGTGTGTTGAGAAGCAATTTCTGGCATCAGCAGAGCCTTTGCTCTCCCTGATTCTGTGGCTATCAGCCCCATTTCAGAGGAAGACATAAATCACAAGGACAACTTCAGCCACGCTGAGGGTGTGAAAACACTCCCTCACCTATAAAAGCCTATTTGGACCAAGCACCCCTGCCTTCAAGTAGCAGCACTCATCCCCTTACCTTCCTCCCCATACTGGTCATAAACAGCTCGTTTCTTGGGGTCACTCAGGACATCGTAAGCCTCCGCAATCTCCTTGAACTTATCCTCAGCATTGGGGTCTTTATTCTTATCGGGGTGATATTTCAGGGCCATTTTCCGGTAGGCTTTCTTGATTTCATCCTCATTGGCACTGGACTGGATGCCCAAAATCTTGTAATAGTCCTTTCCCATGATGGCGATGCTGCTGGGAGCCGAATACTTATTCCTGAAAGCAGAAATACAGCTCTTTGTAAGGTGAATATTGCATTCGGACAGCTGGGGATCGGACTGGCATGCACTTATTGCAGAGCTGCCGCTCCCTGCATCCCACCAGCCAACAGCACCAGAGCTGGCTCAAGTCCATGCTTTCTGCCAGAGGTCAGTGCCCCAGTGCCAGGATATGCCCCGGCTCCAGTTTTACCTCCCCAAGCCCCACAGCAGGGACAGGGAGACTCATCTCTGAGGCTGACGGGGAGAGGGAGAGCTTGAGCCGGGGCACAGCATTATTATACAGACCACACCACTGCGAATATCAGGCAGGGACCACGTCCCCATCCTGTCTACCCCACCTGCCAAGCCAGGAGGGCTGAGCCATGTCTCAATAAAAAAAACCCCCCCCCCCCCAGCTGGGACTCAAGGCAGGGTGATAATAGCAGTTTTTTGGAGGCTGAAAGCGGAGGCAGGGACCTTGCTGCCACCTTCACCTTAAAGGAACTTCAAACATTTTGTTCCTGAAAGCAACTGGCATTCAGTTGGAGATAAGCACCTCTTATGGCATGTCAAAGCCATAATTTGTATTTAGTGAAGAGAGAATGAAGCCCTTAGAAACATCTTGTGATAGTGGGAGGAGCTTTTTTTTTTGTTTGTTTTTAAAAAAAAACACTTTCTAGCCTGACTTGCACTCCCTGAGAGCCTTCAACTACATCTTGCAGTAAGCCAGAAATATGAAGTGGGAGAAGAGGCGGTGAAGTGCCATAGCCTGGCACAAGGCTTGTAGGTTGGCACAGGCGACTGGCTCCTGGGGCTCGCTCTATCCATTGCACAGGGGCCGAGGCCTGGGCCATGCCTGTACTAACGCATGGAAAACCTGGTGGCTGTAAACCAAGGGAAAGGGCAGGCAATTAACTCATCCCCCAGGCACGCAGCTGGAGCAGCAAACACCAGTGGGATCACAGAAACCCAGAGAGCAGCTGGAGAAGACAGGAGAGCAGCTCCTCTGGGCAGAGGCTGAGCAAGCCCCACACTCCTCCAACGACGCTTCCTGCTGCTTCTTGCCCTTTGGTTTTCTGATGGCGAAATCCCGTCCCTCCCAAACCTGGCCTGCCATGCCCTGCCTCACGCAGCACAGCTCGGTGCTTGCTCCTGGCCCTGCTCTTCTCCAGGTGTTGCCCCCAATAGACCCACTGCTCTCTGCTAAGTCCTCATGCTCACATCCTGCTCCCCGCTATGGTCCAGGTTTCATTTTCTCACCCCATCCTTGCTCCAAACACCCCTGGGCAGCCCCAGCCGGTCGAGCCCCTCCAGCAGACAGATTTCTGCATCAGGTGTGAGCCTTGGCCCTTTCCTTCACCATCATACAAGTTACCAGATGTTCCCTATCCTGTCCTCTATCCATAAGCTCCCAGTGGAGGTCATGGAGGGACACCCCCCAACCACAGCAGCTCAGATGAGGGTGGCTGGGCACCCCTGGGGATGCACATCCACAGTGCTGCACTGAGCCCCTGGCATCCATCCCAAGCATCCAAGGCTTGCCTTGGGTTGTGCCTTTGGCAATAACCCCTGTACAGCTGGGTAGCTGCTACAGGGGCTTGGAAATTGGCCCCCTCGATCCGAACCACCAACTTTGCTCTTTTTCCCCAGCTGCAGAGCAGGTACTTTGCTGTAGGTGGGGAGGAGGGCTAAAGCACCCAACACAGAAGGACTGACGGGCGCAGAGACCTCTGAAGGACACAGCAAGGGGAGATGGGGTCACCTGCAGATGTATGAGGCAGCCCAGGGAGGCACATAAGAGACAGGAGAAGGTCCCAGGGGGCATAAAGAGCAGTGTCTCCTGTGGCAGCTCCTGAATGCCAGCACATTTTGGTACCAGCTTCCTGGCAGGAGCCCGCCAGCTCCTGTGCACAGAGCCACCATCGCCACCCAGCCCATGCAGTTGCTAGGGGATGCTCTACCCCCTGCCCACCTCTGCCTCCCCATCTGCCCTCCCCATGGGGCCAGGGGCTGCAGGAGACCCTGGGGCAATCAACTGGGGGGGGGGTCTGAGAGGTAACCTGCCAATCCCCCCACCAAAGGTCACCCCAGCACCTCCCTACCCCACAGCAGCCTCTGGTGTGGGGCAGGGGCTCCCCACGACCAGGATTTGGCCCCTGTCTGGATGATGCCAACCCTCCTGCAGCAAGGGCAAGCGAGGCAGTGCTGAAGACAACCCCGTTGTACCCCGGCTCAAGAGATGCAGAGGTCTCAAACCTTCAATTTTTCCCCCCAGGGATCATAGCGCCCAGCTCCAACCCTGCACAGCCCAATCTGATGGCACCACTGGGACACCCCTGCCCATCCAAAACACCACAGCATTTCCCACAAAAGTATGTCTCACCCCAGCAAAATGCCATCGCTCCCCTCAAGATCTCCAGTCTTGACTACCAAGGTGTCCTTGGCTGGGGTGGGGATGCCCACTGGGGGATGCTCTCCCAGCTGGTGAGCCCTTTGCCCATCTGGGCTCAGGGAAGGGGGAATTTCTCTGCCGAAGCACAGCCCCACGCTGCAGTTTACTGTGCTGGTGAGGACCAGACACCGGCAGGTGACCTGATGGGCAAAAGGCACACTCTGGAGGTGAGGCCCACATGTGCAGTGGTAAAACATGACTGTCCCTGAAGAGCCTCCTTACATTCCTCCCACCTCCCAGGGGATCAGCTGCACCTTGCTACTACTACCTCTCCTCTCCCACTTCTGCTCAGTCATCCTCTCCTGCCTTCCCATTTAACCCCCTCAGGAGTGGTGGGGAAGGTGTCGCAGGGAGGGTTTCAGGTGGGCAATTTCTGCATTCACCCTCCCAACTGGGATGCCTTAGGACAAGCTGCGGCTGCCCAGCTGTGGAGAAAACCACAAACTTTCCCCAAACTTGCCCTGCCAAGACAGCTTAGCCTCCATCCTCCTCTTGCAACCACAAGAATTAAATAAAAATTTAAAACTTCATTCTGGCCCCACACATGACATCAGCCCATGCAACCTCTGGATGAGTGCGCCAGCTGAATAGTGACCATTTGACATAATCCTTCTGCTCAGCAGTCTTGTAAGGGAACAAACCCACGCAGGCAGCAGCACTGGGGAGATCTTTTTCCATCTTGGGGTGCAAGGTCACCGGGGGACACAATGCACTGGAGATGGGCACCAATCAGCACCTTGGGCCATTGCTCGTCACTCCTTGGTAATGAGGGCACAAGGGTGAGAAGCAGAAACACACTGAAACTTCACAAACACATTCAGAGTCCAAGCTGTCATTTTTAAAGGCTCTAGTTTTATTTTAAACATCATGATTGTCCGAAGGCACTGCTGTGTGTCTGGCCAGGAAACACCAGAGGGTGGCAGGAGGATGGAGGAGAGAAAGGTGCCGGCTTGTGCGAGGATGCCGCCACTGCCAAGCAATGCTCTTGTGGCGGGCCTCCCCCTCTGACTCCTCCAGCACACTGAAAAGGCAACTCCTCACCAGCCCGGTGGCTGCAGCTGGCTCCAATCTTCACTCCCAGGAGAAGCTCTGAAATGGCTTCAGCTATGGGTGAGCAGGCATCAGTGCAGTGTGGGGAGCTGCTGTCCTTTGTGCACTTCCCAGCGGCACCCAGCCCTCCCCTCCTACCATGTGCGGGGTGACCCTTCAATGGAATCGCTCGCTGAGCTGTAATTTTCCTTCTAATTGGTTTCTTGTCGCTTTCTGGGGTAGTGAGGCGCAGCAGGCTCGCTAAGATGCCAGATTAAGACATTTCTGCCATCAGCTCTGGCATCCTCCCCGCTGCAGCAAGGCGCAAGGCCCCCAGCTGCCCTGTTACCATCATATCCCCCATGCAGCCTCTGCCGCTGCCAAGTAGCGAGAGCGAGGAGCCCCTAGGGTCCCCAGAAATTACTTGCTCACGCCCAGGGTTGTGCACCCACAACATAAATCAGAGAGGAAGAAAAGTAGGATGGCAGTGATGCGCCAGACAGAAAAAGTCATGTTAACCAATTAGCACCTCCTTGGCTTTCCCCTTTGGATGTGCAGGGGTCCCTGTGTCCCCCTCCCTGGGTGCCGGCACTGATACCCTAGAAGAAGGGGTCTGACCACTGTGATCCCCCCCAGTTGCTGGAACTGCCTGCTGGCTGTGGGCTCCTAGCTCTCCCCCTGCCACAGTGGGGCACCAGATGGTGCCTTCTCCCTGCCCGGCAGCGCAAAACCTACTTTTGAGAAGTCACCTTCAGATGCACCAAGGAAATCCAATGCCACTGTGTCTCCCTTGTCCGTCACCATAAATCAAGGGCCACAGAGAGCATCCTCTCTGGATGCCCACTGACGAAACAGGGCAGCTGTAGCCAGGACATCACCAGGCAGCTCCTGTATCCCACCCTCGGCAAGCAAAACGCCAGGCAGGTGACAGCCCCCAACTCACTGTTTCCCCAGGGGTTGGGATCCGGTGGGACGCCAAGTGCTGAGCATCGGGGTCGGCAAGCCGGGGTGGGTGTGTACCTCTCGGCACAGCTCCAGAAAAGCAGGATGGCCGGCATGGCAACGTATCCCAGGTTTGGTCAGGGAGCCGAAGGGGATCTCTGAGCATTGGGGAAGACAGAGCCGCCTGTGCCGGCTG